CAAAAAACACCCCTCAAGAGGTTATTCATTAACAGTGAGGGGTGCAGGGGATGCAAGCAGGGAGAGCACAACTCACCTGCACTGCTTCAGCCTCCACCAGCTCCCAGCTGCATCCAGGAGGGATGTCACAGCTCGGCTAATTACAGCTGAACAGCAGGGAATAATTCAAAGGATGAAAGAAAAGCAAACAGTGGTGTTTTGTCAGGTGTTGGAGCTGTTTGTGCATTTATTTGTGAATCGGTGAAATTTTCGTAGGAGGAGTGGTCTGTCCTGGAGGGACCCAGGGAGCAAGGGTAGCATCCAGACTGGTGATGGATTCAATCCCCCAGGTTCATCGTGGGGATCAGGAGACCAGTGGTCAGTTCGTCTAAATCCTGTGGTGTAAATACAGGGCTGGAGCACCTCTGCTATGGAGACAGGCTGAGAGAGCTGGGCTTATTCAGTCTGGAGAAGGCTCCACAGAGACCTTACAGCAGCTTCCAGTGCCTAAAGGGACTGACAAGAAAGCTGGAGAGGGGCTTTTGACAAGGACCTGTAGGGACAGGACAAGGGGAATGGCTTTAACCTGACAGAAGGGAGATATAGGTTAGACATTAGGCAGAAGTTGTTCCCTGTGAGGGTGCTGAGGCCCTGGCACAGGTTGCCCAGAGAAGCTGTGGCTGCCCCATCCCTGGCAGTGTTCAAGGCCAGGTTGGATGGGGCTTGGAGCACCCTGGTCTAGTGGAAGGTGTCCATGCCCATGGCAAGAGGTTGGAACTGGATGAGCTTTAAGGTCTCCTCCAACCAAAACAATTCTGGGATTCTGTGATTTTGTGATAAATCATGGAACATGATGCCAGTGAATGCTTTGGTTGGATTTGCTTGGCCAGGGCATGAGGTTTGCACAGGACAGTCAGAGCTGCAGAACGAAACATGGCCAAGGTGATGCAGGGTTATGGGTGGCTGTGGCTTGGTTGGGGCTCTCCAACACAGCCCAAATGGGGATGGAAGGAGGGAGAGGCCCTTCTCTGTACCTTCACTGGCACCTCTGCAGCTCCTGGCACTGAGCTGGCCCAGCAGCTGGATCATGGTAGGATTTCCTGCTGCTACCCTGCACTGTCACATCTGCACCAGAAGTGGCCAATGTACCCCTAGTCTGCAGTGCATTCCCACACTGCAGTGCATTACCAGTTGCAGTGCATTCCCAAATGGCAGTGCACCTGCAGACCGCACAGCCTGGGTGCTGGAGGGGTGGATGCACAAGGTTCTTCCTCCCAGACAGTGCAGGAGTATGGAGATGGGGTTTGCTCAAACATTTGGCTTCCCCACTCTCTCCTACCCTCTGGGGGTGCCCCTCCCCAGAGCTGCCTTTACCTGGGGGCTCCCAGAGCTGCTTCCCCACAGCAATGTGGAAACTGAGGCAGCAGTGAAGCTGTTTGAGTGCCTGATCTCAAGAGCTATTCAAGCATTGTCTCCGGCCAGGCGGAAATCAGGTGGGGCTTTTCTTGGTCTCCTTTCTTCTCTGTTTAAAAATAAAACAGTTGAAATTTAATCATGGGAAGCTTTTATTCTTTATTTCTCAATCTCCAGAGGCCTTTTTTCCTTTTCTCTTTTACAAGTAAATTGCTTCCTTTCTGAAACAACCTCTGGAGGAGGGGAGGACAGGACTGGAGATGAAGCTTGTATGGGAGCAAGGAGATGGTGTCCCTTAATTCTGACCACTCAGCACAGGCAGAACCCCACTGTGTCCTCCCTCCAGCTTGGTATCCCTGCTGCCAGCACCTGTATGTGCCTTGCAGTCTTTGAGGGCGAAGGAAAACAGCTCATTTCCAGGAGTTTTGGGGTCCAAGGGACGAGAGGAGCTGGTCATATTGTGCCACCTTCCTGCTGGGGTTGGTTTGGGTCACCTGGGGTTGTTGATGCTGCAGTTTGAGCTCTGACTTGAACCACGCAAAGACATGTTGGCCCCAGAGGAACCTTTGCCCTTAGCACCCAGCAAACGCGTTGTTTTCAGTCCCAGCAGGGCTGAAATATTAACCGAGCATCCCCAAGGCAGACAGAGCTGGAGCCGTCCCAGAGTCCAGGGATGGGCTGGGTTGAAGTTTAACCGGGTGCCATCAAGCTTGGTGGGTTCCAGCAACCCACGGCTGGGCACAGTCCTGCCCCCCTGCACCCAAACCCTGTGGGGCAGTGGGAGACCAGCAGTGTGCATTTTCCAGCCCATTCACTGCATGCATAGGGAAGGGTCACCTCTGCCTGTGCCCTGCACCCCCGGTGTGCACCCTGTGTGAATGCTGCATCCCAACACCTGCATCAGGAACCCCATGTGTATGCCCTGCACCTTTCTTCATCCTGCACCCTGAACTCTGCTACCTGCACCCTGCAATCCGGATGTACACCCTGCATGCCTGTACCTGCACCTTGCACCCCGTATGCGCACCCTCACCTGGTGCATGCCATCCAGCAGACATTTCCCAGTGAAGACTCACTGCAGCCATTGCAGAGACCCCAGTGGGGTCAGAAGGAACCCTGTTGCACCCATCACTGCCACACTGTTGAGTGCAGAGGTAGGAAGCGGGGATGCTCATTGCAATAGCAGTGCCAGAACAGGAGATCTGGGGGGTTGAGCTGTATATCACCTTGTGAGCACCCCGCTAGCAGCTTTGCATGCCCAGCCTCATGGCCAAATCCTGGACACATCAAGTGCTGGTGCTGTCACCCAGGTGGCCAGGACCAGAACATCACATCTGGAGAAGAGGATGGAGCTGGAGGCTGGAGCCTTAACGCAGCTTCCAGTGCCTAAAGGGGCCAACAAGAAAGCTGGAGAGGGGCTTTTGACAAGGGCCTGCAGGGACAGGACAAGAGGGAATGGCTTTAAACTGACAGAGGGGAGATTGAGATGAGATCTGAGGCAGAAGTTCTTCCCTGTGAGGGTGGTGAGGCCCTGGCACAGGTTGCCCAGAGAAGCTGTGGCTGCCCCATCCCTGGCAGTGTTCAAGGCCAGGTTGGACGGGGCTTGGAGCAACCTGGTCTAGTGGAAGGTGTCCCTGCCCGTGGCAAGGGGCTGGAACTGGATAAGCTTTAAGGTCCCTTCCACCCCCAACCATTCCATGGTGCTGCTGGCCAGGATGGCTCCAGGCTGGGTTTCTGTTTCTCTTCAAGCATCTCTTAAAAAATAAGCCCATCCTTTTGTGAGCAGCCCTGGGAGGTCCAGGAGCTGCCCCTAACTCCAGGGCTTAGGGAGATCCTTTCTTTCCAGGGTCTGCTGCTGGGATCTGTGGTTTGAAACTCACCCTGAGGTCTTCCAGACATTTTGTTCTGTCTTTTCACATCAAAGAGTTGTGAAAGCGCTGGGATAGGGCCACTTTGCATCCTGCAGCTGGAGACCACATCCAACCCGGGCGGGGGTTTGCCAGTACCAGCTCCCCAGCATCCGGAGGGATGCTGATCCCAGAGAGATCTCCCTCCGCTGCACCTGAGACCACTCTGAGCAGCTTCAAGCTGTGAAAAGAAACAGCCTGGAGGAGTTTGTTCTGTGGCCAGATTTGTTTCTTCATCTCAGACTCCATCCATTGTGCCAGCGCCGGCCCCGCGGGTGCCCTGAGGCGGCAGCAGCCGTGCCATTGCTCTTGTTTATGGCTGGAGAATTTCTCCCGGGAACAAACCCTCCAGGAGACAGAGTGAGGCCCCAGCGGGAACGGGGGAGGGATTTTGCATCTCTTCTGATGGTGTTCGTGTTGCTCTGGCCTTGGCCTCCCAGAATCAAAGCCCACGTCTGCTTTGGCTCAGGTGATTCCTGGGTCCCCGCTCTGCACATGATGGGATATCTGCGGCCCAACCAGTCACCACCCTGGGCCATCTCCATCCCTCCAGCCTGTATGGGTATCAGTCAGTTTGCTGAACGTGCTGAGGCTGCGTGCACCCAAGGCCATGCAGATTCCAGGATGGAAGGTGTGGACTGAGGCCACAGGCACCCATGGGGACAGAGGGCACAGAACCTCTGCACATGCATGGGGTACTGGGATGCAGGCAGCAGTGGGGCTGAGGACACAACCAGCCGGGATCAGGGTGGGAGCTGGGAAAGTCAGTCTAGGCTGCAGGATGAGGGGCATGGAGCTGGCATGGGAATGCGGGGAGGGGGCTGCTGGAGCAGGAGCAATGCCTGGCTGTGGCAGTGTAGGGAGATAACGTGGTGTGCAAGGAGGGAAAGGGGCTTGGGAGCAACCTGCAGGTGCCCTCCTCCCCACATCATTCCCAGGAGCAAGGTGGAAACATGCAGGTGAGGCCCCTGCCAGGGGCTGGGCACAGGGGGCTGGCAGGAGGCTGCAGAGACCTATTAAAGCCACTAACCCCGATGCTGGTGCCATGGGAGAGGCAGCTCTCGCAGCTCCCGCCTGGTTTTCCAGCAGGGCTCAGGGTGGTGCCTGGCCACAGCTCCCAGCTGCCCAGGGATGATGCTCTTGGATCTTATATACCATTAGCAGAGTCCAAAGCAGCTCCAAAACCAGCTTCTGAGACTGCCTCCCCTGCCAGGAGACCGGAGAGGACAACAGCCAGAGTCTGGGATAACTCCAGACTGGAGGGAGTGGGTTTAAACCTCTTGCTGTCCACCCAGGGACTGGGTTTTATCCTCTCCCCCCACGCCAAAATTCACACAGCTCCTTTTTCAGGGATGGATCCAGATGTAAAACATTCCCGTGGGCTTGCTGGCAGAGCAGGGACGGCCTGGGAGGAGGGATGCAGACAGGCAAACCGCAAAGCCCCAGCTGAAAATAGCTGAGGGCTGGGGAGAATTTTGGGAGGGAAATACCAAGCGTGTTTGCCCAAATCCTTATGCCGTCCTGGATGTGTGCTTATAACGGCTGTTGAGGCCAGGAGAAGGGCTGGGAGCACAGGGGAAGGTGGCTGCAGGCAGGGGCTGGTCCCTGACACCACAGAGATGGGCCCCAGGGTGGAGGGGAAGAGGCAGGGAGATGCTGCATAAACCTGCACCTAAGGACCGCAGGGGAGAGCTGAGGTGCTCTGGTCACTGTGTGCTTTATTTGTCAACGTTACAAGGCAGAAGGTGATTTCTAAGGCAGAATTCATGATTATCAGTGCATTAAAACCTCCCCACCACATTAAAACTCCAGCCACAAAGGGGATGATCCATCCAAACCCCTGTGCAAGGGAAGCCCCAGGGCTGGGGTGACGGGGCAGCCCCAACACAGCCCCTACCACGGCACAAGTCTGGGTCCAGCCCCAAACCATCTCCCAACACCCCCATAAGAGCTCACAGGGATTCTTTTAGGGGCCATGCTTTGTGCCACTCTCCTCCCAGCCCTGGCTCACCCATCACTTCCACCCAGTAATACCTAAAGGCAAAAATCCAACCCTAAAGGCAAAATCAGCCCGGGGAGGAGGGAAGGCACAGGGCAGGGCTCACAGCCTGGAGATAGTGGGAAGTGAGGGAGCCGGGGGGAGCCCCTCCAGCCACTCCACCAGGATCCTGTTCAGCACCGCCGGCCTGGGGGGATGGCACAGAGATGGGGTAGGATTCAGCATCCCCAGGGACACAGTGGGGCCCAGCTCCAACGGAGTGGGGCTGTGCTTGCCCGCTGTGGTACCTCTCCATCTGCGTCCAATGCCCACACTCCTCAATGTGCTCCCGGTGCAGCTGCGGGATCTTGGGAGGGATGGATGAGAGTGGAGAGGGGTTGGTTTGTGCCAGGATTGGAGTACCAGGAGCCCCCCAAAGGCTGTTGCTGTATCCCCAGCTCTTTATTTTGGCAAGAGCAAATTCCCCCCTAATCCTCCCGTATCAGCCTTGATCAAGTGATGTCCCTGGACCAAATCCAGCCCATCCCAGCTGATGGACCTGCCCCAGGGCTCTGCTGCAGCGGGATCTTATGGAAGCTGATCACAGGCACAGGCAGGGCTGGGGTGGGATGGGACGATTCTGACTTACCCACTCCTCCATGCCCTTGCTCATGCTGGGATGTAGCACCACGTCCTTCCCGGCTGTGACCATCAGCGCTGGCATCATGATCTATAGGGGACATAGGTGCCAAGGTGGGGAAGGTGCTGGGTCTGCAAATGCCCCCGTGGGGCAGGATCAGTCCCCACCTTCCTGTCCTTGGCAGAGAGGGCCCAGCGCCAGTTGGGTCCTATGTTGCGGTACCAGTTCAAGGGGCCACTGCAAGAGAGGAGAATGGGATGGAGATGCTGAGACTCAGCTCCTGCTATCACCACCACAGGGAACTTCCCATCGCCCATGGTACAGGGAGCACCTGCAAGGGTAAAGCAGCCTTTCCCCAGCAGCCTTGCACCTTCTTGGGGTTATAAAGCAAGGCCAAGGTGGGTTTGGGTGTTCCCCTTCTGCAAAGGGGGCATCACACCAGCCCTGCAGGCTCCTGCCCCTACCTGAAGCCGGACTTCTGGAAGCACTGGATGTAGTACTGCAGCTCAGGGCCATGCAGGATCTGGCTGGCAGGGGGGTTTTCTGGGAAGCCCACCAGCAGCCCCCCTGCAAGAAGAAGCACAGCACTGCATCCTTCAGCCCACAGCATCCCCCTGCTGCAGCATCCCACCCCTTACCTCGCTCCCGGACCCGGTGGAAGTCAAATGTGATGGGCAGGCGGTCCTGTGGAGAGAGGGGACTGAGGGCAGGCACAGAGAGACTGCACACAGGGAGGAAAAAACATCCTGGGGGGCTCTCTGTGGCTGTCACACTTGGGGTTCCTTGCTGGGAACCAGTGCTGAGCATCAATGCATCCTGAGGGATAGAGGAACCAGACACACAGCCCTGGGGTGCAGAGCTGGGAGCCAGCACCAAGTGTCACTGCATCCAAAGGGATGGAGGAATAAGCCGTGCAGCCCTAGTCTGCATCCTGCATCCTAAGGGATGCAGGAAACAGTCACGCAGCCCTGGGCCATGGAGCTGGGAGCAGCCAGCAGCAATGGCAGAATGAGGCCGCTGGCAAGGCTCCCAGGGCACTGTTATTTTAAACCACAAAGGTTGTCACCCTGAAGCAAGACATTGACATTTGCAGTGGTAAAGGAAGCGAGCGGTGCTTCGAGGGAGAGCAGGAGCCCCTGCCAGGCTGCACAAGGACAGTCACCCACAAATCTGCTGTTCTCCAGGCTGCGCTGTCCCCTCCCAGGTCCTCTGAAACCCTACTGAGGGTCAGCTGTGAGGCCTACAGAGGTATGGGTCCTGCACTGCTGCTTACAAGGATGCGTTCGCTCTGGTCCCTACTGATGGCTGCCTGAATGCAGACTTTGCTGCAGACAGGCAGGAAAAGGATGGCAGACGCAGGGTGGAGCATGCCTGAGGGCCACTGTGGAACACTGCGAAGCCATCCCTGAAGATTTTGACTCCTGGCATGGGTGAGGTGGAAGGGGAGAGGGTGCCACAGGCAGAGCCCCAATAAGGCTGGCGGGGCTTGGAGAGGACATCAGGCTGTGAAGCCCTCTGCTCCCAACCTAGGTCCAACCTCAGCCCCATCCCTACCTCCTGGCGTGTGGAGCGGATCAGGACCTTCAGTGTTCGGCCAATATCCCTCTCCAGCTCTGCTTCTGCAACACCCTGCACATGGAGTGGAAGCAGCACAGTGGGTGATGCCACCCCTTCCCAGGGACCCAGACCACCCCAGAGTTGGATCCTGCTGCCATGTGGGCTCAGGTGGAGGCTGGGGATGGTTTCTACGCAGGGTCCAGCATGGGAACAAGGTCTGACACGGGGACCACAAGCCGCTTGCAGCTGGGGTGACAGTGAGAGCCCCACATGGCACCCTGGCTGTGGGGTAGGCGATGCCCATCCATGAGCTGGGGACCCCAACATGGGCATGACTCCATCCTGGGGTGAGGTTAGGCCCCAGGAGAAGGGTGGAGGATAAAAACTGTGGCCCTGGACTCACCGGCTCCTGGAAGTAGAACTGGTAATCAAAGGTGGGGATGCTTTTCATCTTCTCCACGATGTCCACAAAGGGGTTGGCGGGTCGATATGGGGTGTTCAGTGAGGCCACAGCTCTGGAACATCACAGGGAGGACATAGTCAGGATCACCCCCGGATTCAGGGTGCCCAGCATGAGCCAGGGCTTTGCTCTAGGGATGGAACAGAGAGGGCAGGACCCAGGGCATTGTTAGGGACAGGGGAGGGGGTGTAGGACCAGTCCTCAAGGAGCCACACACATGGCACAGACCTACCTCACCCTCTCAGGGTAGAACAGAGCCATGTTCCAGACCACGGCACCGCCCCAGTCATGGCCAACCAGCACGGTCTGCGGGATGCCCTGTGGGGAGGGGGTCCATGAGCGTGCCCCCAGAGCAGCACCCAGGGAGCACCTCCAAATCCTCCCCAAAAGCAGCACCCAACGGACATCAGCAGGTGAGAGAGGGGTTCTGCCTGCCTCTGGAGCAGCAAACACAGCAGAAAACAGCAATATTTTCTCTTTTTTCCCCATTTATTTTCCTTTTCTTTTCCCCAAGGAAGAAGCATTACCTGATTCCCCCGGAGCCATTTACTCTGACTTAATTAAACATTTCAAGCACCTGTGCCCTCCGGAGGCAAGGGATTCATTATTATCTACGATGGAGGCTGTTCATCCCTTGGGATCACCTACACAGGTCCGTCCCATGTCATCGTCGTGTCCTCCCCCCCCCCCGCCATCACATGGGGAACATCATTTTATAGTCACAGCCAAATAAATCCCTGCCCCTCCAGGAAGCAGCTCACAGCATCCCCCATGCCCGTGCAGATCCTGCCTGGAGCAGACTGTCCCCCCTCCGTCATTCTATTTTCCTGACCCCTCTGGGCACTGACAAATGAATCCAATTAAACCTGCACTCTCGACAATGGAGCAGCCGGTTCATAATTAGCTGATATTTAGATGTGTAATTAAAATTCCCTCCCAGCAGACACGTCTCTGCTCACTGCCGTCTGACAGCACAAAATAGTGTGCAACCCCCCCTGCAAGGGGGGCAGAGGGTTTGGGGGGGTCCCAGCATCTCCCACCACTGATACGGGGATGAGTGGGTCCCATCCATGCTGATGGATTTCATCCCATCATCACTGTCCTGGCTCCTGGACCACTCTGCGCCTTCTGCGTCCCAGATATGGGTTCAGATATCACCATGGAACTTCATGAAGTCACTTATCCCCTAGGTTGCACCAGGGGAGGGAGAAGGAGCACCCCAGAGGGGAGAGGAGCAGGATGGGCCCTGATGTGGAGGAGCAGGGAAAACCAAAGTCGCATACATACATGATGCCACCACTTCCCATCTACCAAGCTCACCCTGAAGCAAAGCTGGCACCCATCCCCTTGCCAGGCTGCACATCAATGGGCACCTTCCAATCCATTTTCCTTATTTCTAATCCAACATGAGGGCAATACTCCAGCAAAGGGATGTGATTTATCCTCACATGCTCAGCACCAAACCACAGCTACAGTCCTTGTGATGCCTGGTTCCCTCCCAAAACCCATCCCAGCTCTGGCACAAAACCACCACCACTTCCCCAACAAGAAGCCCTCAAGGGGCTTTTTTTCCTCCTTGTTTCTTGTTGTTAGCACTGTGGTTTTTGGAGGACTCATTCCCTTGGAAGCCATTCTGCAAGGAAAAAGCCCTGGAGGTGTTGACATCTGTGGGCTACACCTTTACCCCTACACTTCACCTCTTTTAAAAGGCACAGAAATCAACTGCATCCCCTTGCTGGGATGGGAATTAAACCTGGAGCTCCCAAACCCAAGTGAGATGACACCATAGTTGAGCCATGCCAAGGGGCAGCAATGGTTCCCCAGACAACCCAGCCATGTGCAAGCTGCTATAGTCATGGATGAAGGGGATGCAGCCCAACATCCTTCTCCATGAGTATCTTGCTGCCTAACCAACATCCTGCCAAGCCTCAGGTGCCCATCTCCCTGTCATCAGCAAGGACACAAGGTACAGGAAAAGGTGACACAGAGCTAGAGACCCTTCCAAGGATGGGTCTTCTCCACTGGCAACGGGTTGTATGAACATCCCCATCCCTAAAATCCCACCCACAGGGAACACAAAAGACAGGTCTTGGTGCTACTCCAAGAGCTCTGGACCAAAGCCACTGGGTAGCTCAGCTGTCCCTGCATGGGAACGAAGAAGTGAAGGGCAGCTGGGGAAACACACACCCAAACCTTGCCAAGAAGGAGGGACCATCATGGGGGGATCCTCACCAGTTTGTCCAGGAAAACCACCAGGTCCTGGGGAAGGGAGGAGAGAAAGAGTCAGATCCTGTCTGGGATCACCACCCTCCACACCACGGTCTTCCTGCCCACATCCTCACCTTGCATATCTGCTCCTGGGAATACTCTTTTATATCTGCACAAAAGACATAACCACCATCATCTTAACATCCACACATCTCTAGGGATGTATTTGGCATCCCTCTGAGCTGCTGGGGCTGCAGGAGGAGCCAGCTTCCACCCCCCATGAGAAGGCTCCTCCATCCATCTCCTCCTGGGTCTTGGACTTGGGGTCAGCAGCTCCAGCCCTGTATAACCCCAACTCCTAACTCACCCAGTGGGGCTGTGGACTCCCCGTAGCCCTTCATCTCCAGAGCAATCACCCTGAAGCCAGCATCGACCAAAGCTGGGATCTAGAAGGAAAAACAGCAGCCTCCAAAGGATGCTGAAACCCCTGGACAACACCCTGCCACCCAGGAACCCTAGGAGCGGTGACCACGCACCCCACCACCATCCCACCAGCAGCCCCTTTGGTCCACCCTCCTCCCCGTCTTCTCCATCACCTGGAAGCGCCATGAGAGCCAGCACTCAGGGAAGCCATGGCACAGGCAGATGACAGGACCCTGCCCCATTTCCACGAAGTGCAGCTGGACACCATGCTGGAAGGGATGGAGAGCCCTCACCAGCTGCAGGCTGCATGGCTTCACCCCACAATGCTCCACCCAGTGCTGGTCACCAAGTGTGGGGGCCCATCACCCCCTCCCAAAGCCACACAACCATGCTTTAGCCTCTGTGGTGGACAGAGAAGACCTGAACGATGGGGCTGCTCAGCATCCCTGGCCGAGAGCAGCCCACACAGGAGGGACAATCCAGTATGCCACCTGTTGGCTGGCACATCCTTGCACGGGGCTCAACACCCTTCCCAGGAAGCCTGGCACCTCCAAGCCATTGTCACCACGGCAGTCCCCTCCACATTACCCGGATGGGTACATATCCGTGGGTCACGTTGGATGGATCACACGCTGTTGGTAATGGCTCTTGCTGGTTGAGAAGCTGTGGGGTGAGGAGCACAGGGTGAGCTCCTGAGCAAGCCTGGAGCCCCACGGGACATCCCCACCAACCTGCGTGCAGGGACATCATAGAAACACAGAATAGTTTGGGTTGGAAGGAACCTTAAAGCTCATCCAATTCCAACCCCCTGCCACAGGCAGGGACACCTTCCACAAGACCAGGTTGCTCCAAGCCCATCCAACCTGGCCTTGAACACTGCCAGGGATGGGGTAGTCACAGCTTCTTTGGGGACCCCATTCCAGTGCCTCACCACCCTCACAGGGAAGAAGCCCAAGCCCATGCCTCCCAGAGGATCCCCAGGAGAGCAGGGAACGGAGACCACCCCTACATGCCTGGACACCTGAGAGCTCCTCCAGCTCCTTCAGGACGGTCTCGGTGTCCCTGACGAGTAGCGTGGCCATGCCCATCTCCTGGGCTGGCTTCAAGTTCTCCCCAATGTCATCCAGAAGGATGACCTGGAGATAAACCACCAAGAGTAGGGATCAGCACCCTGCAGAAGGGCTTGGCCAAGGACCGCAGGTGCATGGAGGGACCCTCTGTGACCTGTTCTCAAGGTGGTCATACCTCCTGTGGCTTCGCCTGCAGTGCATCCAGGGCGTATGTGTAGATCTCAGGATCTGGCTTCTGCATCCCGAGCCGGCAGGACTCAATCACCAGATCAAAGTGCCGGTGCAGCAGGTTCATCAGCCTGGCCGTGAAGAGCCGCCCGGCGCTGTCGTCCACCCAGTTGTTGGTGAGGACACAGGTCTTAAACCCTAGGGAGGTGCAAAGAGGGGAGTGCTGGTTTTCCCACTCTGGCTCTCCAGACAGTATTTGATTTCACCTCTCCTCTCCAGCCACCTCCTCATCCCAGACGTCCAGTCTGCAAGGCTCTGGCCAGGTCAGAACACACCAGCAGCAGATCAAAGGATGCTCAGCAGGAGCTTATGCCCAATTCGTACTTCCAGGAAAGCAAAGCTCTCAACCCTCCCAATGCAAGTGGGACGTGAGCTGGAGCTTGGGCACACTGAGATGCTGAGGACAGAGCTGATGTGAGGGTGCTGAGGCCCTGGCACAGGTTGCCCAGAGAAGCTGTGGCTGCCCCATCCCTGGCAGTGTTCAAGGCCAGGTTGGATGGGTCTTGGAGCAACCTGGTCTAGTGGAAGGTGTCCCTGCCCATGGCAGGGAGGTTGGAGCTGGATGAGCTTTAAGGGCCCTTCCAACCCAAACCATCCTGTGATTCTATGATTCCCTGATGGACTCCACAGTGCGTGATGAAGGGCTACAGCACCCTGCTAATTGCTGCCTAGGTGCTAACATGTCTGATGGATTTAGTAGCATGGCTCCTAGTATTTAATTAAGGGATGCTGAAAGGCGACATCAGGAGAGTGTGAGGATGATGATTAAGGACCAAGCAGGTGGGACCAACCAGGATCCTGTGGTGGAACCCACCAGGATTCCCAAGGCAGTTGCCTGGGAGGGAAGCAGCACCCTTAATCCAGTCCAAAAGCCCCCCAGCGCCTACCATTCCTCCGCAGCACCCTCGCTGCCTGCAGGAGGGGGGCATTGACCGTCCCCTTGGCTGCCATCTCCTCGAAGGCTTGGGCAACAGAGAAGGTGTCTGGCAAGGTGATGCCCGAGGTAGTGGCATGCTGCCTGCAGCCCTCTTCCATCTCGGAAAAGAGCTGGAAAAAACACTCACAGTGTCATTCAACTGATCCCAATATATAAAGCACAGCCCATCCTGAAGCTTGCTCCCCTCGGTTCCTTCCCCATCGGAGCCATTGGTGATATCGCACAGCTGGTACCCGAGGGCTCACCTGGGACAGGGTGATCTGTCCTCTCAACATTTTGGCATAAGGACTGTCGGAGCCACCAGCAAACATGACCTTCCGCAAGAAATTCCTGCCAGGCAAAGGAGAAGAAATCAGTGGGAGAAACCCCAATGCTGTGGGGATGCTGTGGTGCGCTATGGGGAGGGGGATGCTCTGTGCCGGGGATACAGAGCTCCATCCTCCATTATCCCCCAGGACCAGAGCATCACTTCATTACAGGACCGGGAGATCACCGCCCATTTATTTCTGCTGGCAGCTCAATTACTTGGCCCTGCAGATAGACGAGCAGGGAGCTTCGCCAGGGACAAAATATAGCAAATAATGCAAAGAGCAAGGTATTTTGTAAGCCGTAACTCAAGGAAAACAATTTGCCCCTATCACAAGATGACAAAAGGCCTTCTCAGGCAGCAATAAAACAAGATTACAGCGACTGCCTTTAGGACAAGCTCCCTGAGTTGGTAACAACGCAGCTCGGCTAAAAACAAAGCAGCTTTACCTGTTCCAGCTGGATTGCTATCACTTTTCTTTTTCATTTTTTTTATATAAAGCGAAGCAAAAAGATGTTTGATGGCCGATAATCCGGGAATTTATTGTTCCATCAGCTCCAGCGTTTAGTTACTTAATACTGTATTTTTCTGTCTGAACACCCACATGCTGCCAGGAAACCCTGCCAAGTTGGGGCACGCAACAGAACCTGTTCAGCTACTGATTGGGAGCTTTTGGGATTACCAGCTCCCAAGCAGCCCATATTAATGGGAGCAAAGGGCTCACTAGGACTCGAGAGGCTGTCTGGGACCTGTTGTGCTGGGGTTTGTCTGCTCCAGCTCGTGCACCAAGTTGTGTCAGGTCTCGGCACCAAGGGAAGGATGGGATTAATTGGCTATCCTGCTTAATTAATTACTACTCGATCTTATTGTTTCTGCCAACGTCCCCTATGGTGATTCCACCTCTTTGGGAGTTAGTTTTAACTGCTGACCTGTGCCCCACATCCGGGACAGGACCTCACCCCAGCCTGCACCCCAGATCCAGAAAGGAGGTCCTCAGCCTGCACCCCATGTATACACAGGAACCCCAACATGCATCTGATATCGAGGACAGGGGTCCCCCCAGCCTGCACCCCACACCCAGCCCTGTCCTCCTCTATGGGGGCCCCAGTCGTGCAGACCCCGCGCGGGCGGCGGCCTCACACACAGTATTGTCTCGTCTTTACGTGTCTCCGGACGAGAGGTGACCCACAGCACCGCGGGCGGGCGATTGCCAGCGGGCCGGGCCGGGCCGGGCCGGGCCGGGTCAGGCCGGGTCAGGCCGGGTCGGGCCAGGGCGTACCTGGGCAGGGCGCAGTCCTGCTCGCAGGAGCCCAGGAAGTGCTGCAGGCCGGGCCCGAAGAGCACGCCGCCAAGGTCGAACAGCACGGCCCGCCGCGCCATGGCCGCCTCCCTACTGCCGGCACCCAGACTCGAACCCGCGAAGACGCCGCCGCCTCCACCGCTAAGGCCTCCCTGCAGCCCCCGCCTCCGAGGCCTCGCCCCGCCCCCTGCCCCGGAGCCGCGCTGGGTCCTAGCGCCGCCACCACTGTGGGCACCCTCCCGGTCGCCCGGGACCCGCCGCAGGACACTCCTGCACGGGGTGTGTCCCTCTCCGTCCCACTGCCACCTTCCCAGTCCCGTGGGGCTGTGGGACCCCCGACCTGGCGGTGGAAACCCCTTTGCTACCGTTGGTACCCCCATCTGCTCCCTGTCGCTGCTCAGGCGGGTTTTGCCCATAACCGCTTAACGGGGTCCCCCTCAGCTCCCGCAGCACCCCAGGGTGCACCAGCACCCGCTGACCCAACCTGCCTGCACCCAGATCCCGAGCTGCCTAATGGGGCTGAGAGTGGGAAGGGTCGGGGGTGCACACAGATGCGCACACACATGCACACACACATGCCTGAATACATGCAGGAATGCATATATGCACACATGCACGTGTGCACACCTACATGTATGCACACGTGTATGTACACATGCACAACCAAAAAATGCATGAACATAAACACACACATGCAGTCATGTATGCAGACATGCATGCACACCCTTGCCCATGCATGCCTACACGTGTGCCTATGTGAAACACACATGTGCATGCTGAGCATGCATGCACACCACCAGGCACAATGCGTGTGCACTGTTAAGCCTGTGTGTCTGTCCCTGAGCACATGCGTGCACCCTGAGGCTGCGCAAGCACTGCCAGGCATGTGCGTGCGCTCCTAGCACATGCATGCACTGCTAAGCATGCGTGTGCACCACCGGGCAGCTGCGTGGGCACCCAGCACGAATGTGCACGCTCAGCGCATGTGCGTGTGCCAAGCACATACGTGCACACACATGAATGTTACCTGACCACCATCCCTGAACCCCAGTAAAGGCAGCCCAAGGGGAAGCATGCGACCCCCCCCATGCATCCTGAGCCAGCCCTGGCGTGCTCAGTGCCAGACGCGCCGTGGCCACGCGTGTGCGTGTGCATGGCCCGGCCCCGTCTCGGGGCGGTGTTGGCGGTGCCGTGGCGGGACGGCCGCGTCGAGGAGCGGTGGTGAGCGGGGCCGCGGGGCCGGGGGGGAGCGGCAATCCCAGTCCCTGCCTCAGTTTCCCCACTGCGAGGCATGCGATGGGATGCTGGCTCGGAGGGAGTTGGGGGAAGAACTGCACCCCTGCGAGCGCAGCCGAGCTGGGGGGGGGGGGGGGCTGTTCTGTGCTGGGAAGGGATGTTTTAGGGGGTCAAGCCCAGACAAGCCATACGTTTATCCCCAGCATCCCGCTGCTGGGGCCCAGTGTCCCCCAGCCCTCATCCCCCAAGTCCCACTGTCCCCAGTACCCCCGAGGGGACCCCCCAGCATCCTCGCAGTGTGGTCCAGCGCCGGGTGGGGGGGGATGAAGCCCCGTTCCCTGGTTTCTGGCATGGCTCAGAGCTGCGGCAGGCGAAGGGTTTTCCTCCTCCCACCACGGCGGGGGCACCTCCGGCACAACCCTCCGGGGACGGCAGCAGCTCCGCAGCCCCCCAGCTCCGGCTTCTCCCTGGCATAAAGGTGGGAGCGTGTTTCGGACGGTGGGAAACGAGGGGATAAAGGAAGAATTTTGCTGGTCTGTCGCTATTACGGTGGGAAGAGCCGGGAGGAACAACCTCAGCCTTCGTGCCAACGAAATGCCAGCACGGCGACGCCTCTGAGACCCGGCCAACTCGTGGCAGGGCTGGGCCGCCGTGCTGCTGTGGTCCTGCCGGAGGGCTCCCCTCTTTCTGGGGGCGTCTTTCGCTCCAAATCGAAACCAACCCACCCCTGCCAGGTGCTGGCCTGAGACCTGAGGAGCTCATTGCACCTCAGGATGCTGGCAGGGAGCTGGGGATGCCCCTGGGAGCCCTCTTCCCTCTGCAGAGAGGCTCAGGACTGGCTGGGAGGATGAAGGGTGCTGGTGGGGACCCCCCTCTTCCACGCCCGTCGCGCCTGCAGCCTCTGGCACCCGCTCCCCTGGCCCTGGTGCCAAGATGGGTTTGAAAGAGCCGCATTGTCTGTGCACACCACCACCCCACCCCCCCCCCACCCCCCCCCCCCCCGCAGTCTCCTGCTTTGCCATGGCTCTGGATGGGGGTTTTAGGGGGGGGATGAGCAGGATCAGCCTCCCCTCAACCCTTCCAGCCCTCACCTTAACTCATCTGTGCCTCAGTTTCCCCACTCTTATGATCCATGTGCTGTACTACAGGGGTGCAGGAAGGGTCTGTGTCATTCCTACCCCTCCCCATCCCAGGGGGGGGTTTCCCCTATGGTGTGGTGAGAGTGGGGCACAGCACCCCAGATCCCAGCTCCCAGAAACCAGAGATGCACATGCATGGAAAAATATGGGTGCTTGGGGGTTTGCTGGTGCAAAATGGGGGGTTCCCAGAAGGTCCTAAAAGGGCCTCAGAGGGTGTCCCACCTGTAGCTGTGATCCGCCTCTTTCTCTTTGCTCCTGCAGGACACCATGGTCTCGGGGAGCCCTGGCTGGTGCCTACTGGTGGGGCTCTGCACCCTTGTCCCTGCCACCACACAGCGAGGACCAGAAGAGGATGTGACCCCCAGTTTTGGGCTGGAGGAGTTGGGGTACCACATCTCCCAGGATGGGGACCCCCTCCAGGACCCCCAGCGCTGTGGCATCACCTTCCACACCCCCAGTCCCTGCAGCTCCCTCGGGCCCACAGCCTTCGCCTCCCGCAATGAGCTGGATCACCTCAAGAGCCTCTTGCAGGACACCAAGGCCAGCCTGAAGGATGTGGAGATGGCGGCCATGCTGGAGAAGAACCAGACCCGCTACCAGGACATCATCACCGAAGCGCTGCCTGCCATCCATGAGGCCAACCTGGAATTTCAGGAGAGCCTGGATAATGTCCGCAGGGAGCTGGAGGCTCACGTGGCCGAGGCTGATCACCCACGGACAGCTGAGAAGAAGGAGAAGTAAGTGCCATGGGAAGGGAATGGGGATGCTCCATGGAGCTGATACCCCAAACTCCATGGGTGGGAGCCAGCCCCAGGCTGCAGACACGTGGGGGGGGGGGGGGGAATCCAGGTGTCCCCATGGCTCCCATAAACTTCATGATGGCTTTTACGTTACATGTGGGGTTTGGATGCTTGGCAGGCCACTGCTGTTAATACCCATGTGAGTGTCTCTGCCCTAAGCCCATCGCAGTGTGGCTGGCAAGGGGGTCCCCTGAGGGCAGGGTGAGGGGTGGGATGTCAGGAGTGGGGGGGTTGTCACCCCTAAATGAGTGACCCAGCACAGCTGAGCCACAGCGTGATGATGGAGAAATGCATTGACCAGGATGGAGGAGTTGGGAAATCTCCTTTCCCAGGGTGGGGACCCCCTCCAGGACCCCCAGTGCTGCAGCATCCCCTTCCACACCCTGCTGCGGGGAGGCTGGTGGGGACAGGGGGTACACTGAGCGCACTCTTCTCCCTCGAGGCTGCGGAAGGCTGTCCACGTGGTGTCACACATGCTGCGCCTCACCGGGCGCCTGGCCCAGACCCTCGATGCTGCCTCACAGCGCCTCGATGCTGAGCTCAGCCTGCGCCTGCAGAGCTCGGCTGCCACCGCCACTGAGCCCTAGGGCAGCAGGGATGGGCTCCACCGTCACCCTGCGTATGGCCTTGCTTGCTGGTAGGACCCCAACCCGGCTCATCTCCATGGCTTCTGGGGTGTCCCGGCTCCTCTCCGCAGCGCCAGGGGCTGAGACGTTGCCCGGAATATTTGCAGAGTGGTCTGGGTGCTGGAGCCAGCAGCGCTGGGATGGGATGGGATGGGATGGGATGGGATGGGATGGGATGGGATGGGATGGGATGGGATGGGAGGCTGCTGCCCGCACATAAAATGCCACTGCATGCGCGATGATGCCTGTAACCCAAGGCCCGGGTGTTCATAGAATCATGGAACCAATGGTTTGGGTTGGAAGGGACTTCAAAGTTCATCCAGTTTCAACCCCCTGCCACGGGCAGGGACACCTTCCACTAGACCAGGTTGCTCCAAGTCCTGTCCAACCTGGCCTTGAACACTGCCAGGGATGGGGCAGCCACAGCTTCTCTGGGCAACCTGTGCCAGGGCTTCACCACCCTCACAGCCAAGAACTTCTGCCTAAGATCTCATCTCACTCTCCCCTCTGTCAGGTTAAATCCATTCCCCCTTGTCCTGTCCCTACAGGCCCTTGTCAAAAGCCCCTCTCCAGCTTTCTTGTGGGCCCCTTTAGGCACTGGAAGTTGCTCTAAGGTCTCTCCGGAGCCTTCTCTTCTCCAGGCTGAACAAGCCCAGCTCTCTCAGCCTGTCTCCATAGCAGAGGTGCTCCAGCCCTCAGAGCATCTTTGTTGCACTTCTCTGGGCTCACTCCAACTGCTCCACATCCTTCTTATGTTTGGTCCCAAGAGCTAGATGCAGGACTGTGGTGCATCCACCATGTTGGATACACTATCCTGCAGCAGTGCCTGGTACCACCATGCCATCACACAGCAGAGCCTGGTACCACAGCATATGTTTAGCCCTGTGCCTGGGGGAAATCCTCTCTGTGGCGGTTCCTTCCCATCCCCAGCAGTCCTCTGGACCCCTTTGTCCCTCCCTGGAAAAGCTTTACCCACATAGGCTCCCTTTTGTCACAGCCAGGCAGCCACACCTACCAACAGCTACATCGTCACGCCTGGATCCTTGCCTGAACCTCATGGGGCTCCCCAGAGGGTCTTACAAACTAACCCCAGCTCTCTGGGGGCTTGGTGGCATCTCACTGATGGTCCAGCAGCATCACTGGTGTGGGCAGAGCCCTGGTTAATCCTTCACCCTTGGGAGCATCTTGTCCAGCCTTGGAAGAGCGTTTTCACCCCTGGGGTGGTAACGGTGGAGCTGCAGACAGGGTGTGAGAGTGGCTGGAGATGAAGTGCCAGGCAATAAATCAAAGCTGGCAACTCGAGTGCTCCCAACCCACGGAGGTTTGGGCAGCAGAAAAGCAGCTGGAGGCGGAAAATCCTTCCTC